CCTTCATACATGCATAGTGAAGGGCATATATCAGGCACATTAAAGTGAGTGTCAAGCACACAAGAATGGGTATCTATGGGGAGGAGAGTAGGAAAGCAGATAAGAGATGAAGAGGGACTAGAACAAAAATGAGAGGGAGTGTTGCTTCTAAATGCTGTCAAGTCATTCCGATTCATAGCAGCCCTATATATAATAGAACAAACACTGCCCAGTTCTGTGACATCCTCACAGTTTGTGCTGTTTGAATCCACTGTTGCAGCCAATGTATCAATCAATCATGTTCAGGGCCTTCCTCTTTTTCACAGACCCTCTATGTTATCAAGCATGATGTCCTTCTCCAGGGACTTGTCCCTTCTGATAACTTGCCCAAAGCAAGAGAGACAAAGTCTTGCCGTCCTCACTTCTAAGGAGCATCCTGGATGTACCTCTTCCAAGATAGATTTGTTCGTTTTCCTGGCAATCCATAGTATGTTCAATATTCTTCACCAGCCCCATAATTCAAAGACATCAATTCTTCTTCAATCTTCCTTATTTATTGTCCTGCTTTCACATGCATATGAGGTGATTGAATATACCTTGCCTTAGGTCAGTGATAAGTTAGTCCTCAAAGTGACATCTTTGCTCTTCAACACTTTAAAGAGCTCTTTTGCAGATTTGCCCAATGCAATATATAGTTTGATTTATTGACTGCTGCTTGCAAGGTCTAGCAAAGACAAACAGAAGTAGTTCACTCTGACTGCTGTGTAGAAAACAAATAGGATGTTCTGATAGGTGTGGCAAGTGATCTAAGCAGTGACTCCCCTTAAGACTTTTGTGATACTAAATCAGTCTTCCTTTTACCTTGATTCTGTGGAGAGCAGAACCTGTGGAGCCATAAAGAGCAGGCACAAATACTTTGATCACTGAAAAGTGTATGGCTCCTGCTAAATTACTCATGAATTACTTATGAATTTGATTAGTATGGGTCATTCCCAAAAATCTATACTGGGTAGCTTGACAAACTCAAGCTTTTAGATTCATGGAGGATCAGACCTGTACGTGCTGACCACCTTAAAATAATTTAAAACCACTGTGCAGCCAACCTTCATTCTAGTGCCTGTCAAACTTCACCCTTACTGCTCTCTATGTGAGGAAAGTCTAGCAAAGGGCCATACACATAGTAGATACATAATACTTGTTAGCAGCTGTCCCTGCTGAGCTAGTAGCTAGCATTTGGCACGTTTCCCAATACCTGTTAGTGGAATGAAGTGTCCCTTCTTTCCCTCAATTCAGATCTTTTTAGCTTTATTTCCTACCATTCCCTATGTACCATCTACACTGGAGGACTTACTATTCTTTACTATAATATACACACAACATACATTTCATCAATTTCTATGTATACACTTCAGTGGCACTGTTGCATTCTTCAAGCTTGCACCCCTTTAGGGTCACTTTCCCAAACTATCAACACTCACTACTCTTTGGACACTCCATCTTCTTCCATATTTCCTTGTCTTTTTTTTTTTTTTTTTTTTTTTTTTATGGGGGCGTAGGGGTGTCACTAAAAATAAAACTACTTCCAATTCAGAATACTTCTTTGCAAAATAGGTAAGAAAAATGTTATTGAATAAGCACTAAACCAGAATGTGATGCATCACTAAAGAGACTGTAGACAGAAAGAAATCATATCTTTTATATATCTGAGTGGATACAGCTCATTAAATTCATGTTTAAGATAAAATTGCTAATTTTCTAATATCTTTATGGCAGGATATCTAAAGTTATGCAAATCTCCTCCCAGGAAACTAGGAAGTAGGAGTGTGAACTTTCTTAAGGATTACATTTCAAAAGAGATGGCTCCCAGGCCATTGAGGAACCATCTTTGATACTTTTCAAAAAGACCAAGAAAGATTCTATCATTACAATGATCTACAGTGAGTTCTGAAAGAACAGAGGAGGAGGGAGCCTCTTTATTTTCAACAGGAAGAATTATTTTTTGTTTTTCCTTATACTTTTCATGTTCTATATCTAGTAACTAGAATTAAAAGTGATTCCTCTTTTCTAAAAGTTCAAATATTACTCTTGTAGATTTTCCCTGTCTCCCATATTCAATCAATTATCCATCCATCCATTGCTTTATTCAACAAACATTTATAAGCCAGACACAATGCAATGAACTGAAAATATGATGGCTAAAGCCAAAATAGAGGGTCACTACAATTATCACTTTCATGGAGGTCTAGTGGGGGAGACCAAGCTTAATTTACATTGGTGAACATACAATTACAACTGAGTTACATTCTCTGAAGGAAGCACTATTCTTTGATAGTATATAACCAAGAAATCTTTTCTAGATTGAGGTGGATTGTGAGTTCTAATGTTACAGCAGTTTTAGATTCAAGAGTGTCACTGCAATTCCAGATCCATCACTGAAGAAATCAAGACCACTCGGAGAAGTGAAGGAGAGTTTCAGATTTGATTAAGCTAGCTGCCTCAGAGGAGCTAACTTCTCCAGATTCTGAGCCCCGAGTGCCGGCCAGTGCAGGATTATATGGGGTCAGAATCGGCAAGGGGTTAGGTTGCAGGGTTAGGTTCTGTTTGAAGACAAGAGGGAAACCAGAGGATAGGTCCCACTTAGTAACCTGATTAATATTCTAGCTTGACTCCTGGAAGGAGAAGACAGTGAATATTTTTACCTTTTCCTGTTCACTAAGAGGTTCTCGCTGAAGAAAGAAAAATGCATGTCAATTTTGGCACTAACAGTAGAATGGGGGCAAAAACATGCATTCCAGAGGGACTAGAAGGAGCACACCAAATTTAAAGAATTTAAAAAGGTCACAAAATTGGAAAACAGAGAAGGGGGGCGGGGGAGAAGGCCAAGATGGGAACATTGAAGAAGTCAAGGGACATGCTAACATGACCAGATATACACTTTGGAAAAATTACTCTAGCTGCTATTTAGAATGAATTAATGTGGAGAACAAGAGAGAATAGAGGGTGGAGAGACTGTAACAGAGACATGATAATAATTTGTGTTTGAGTGGTGGTAGTAAAGATGACAGACGAATCCTAGTGGTTCTGAGGTTAATGAACTTGGTTGCTAACCAAAAACCTGTGATTCAAACCCACCCAGTGGCTCCATGGGAGAAAGATGTGATAGTCTACTCCCATGAAGATCTGAAGCTGTGGAAACCCTATGGGAGTCCTATTCTATCCAACAGGGTCACCGAGGACAACAACATCAAGGAAGATGAAAAGAAGTATATAAATTTCAAAAATATTCAAGAAGTAAAATTAGTAAAAATTGGATGAGACTGGATATGGAAGAGGAAAAGAGAAGTACAAGAATTAACTCCTAGTTTCCTGATCAGGATCCCTAGGATCCTAGGGCCCACGCTGGCCAAGGTAATCTATCAGAGTCCTGTAAATTTGGAACTGTTGCCCAAGTCCTGTCCTCCATAAGGAGTCCTAGCGTGGCGCTGCAGGACAAAGCACTGGGCCAAAAGGTCAGTTTGAATCATAAGGTGGGCGGTTCAAACTCACCAGCTGCTTCTCGGAAACCCTATATAGGGTCGCTATGAGTTGGAATCAACTCGATGGCACTTCACATTGAACAGGAAAAGGTGAAAATCATTCACTGCCCTCTCCACCCAGTAGGCAAGCTAAAATGCTAATCAGGTCACCAAATGGGACCAATCCCCCTGGTTTTCCCCCTGCCCTCAAACAGGTATGCAGTCTGTTCCCTCCCTGATTCTGACCCCATATAAGCCCGTGTTGCTCTCCATTTGGGCTCAGAATCTGGAGAAATTAGCTCCTCTGAGTCAGAGGCTTAATAAAATCTGAAACTCTGCTTCACCTCTCCCAGTGGCTTCGGTTTCTTCCACCACGAATCTAAAATTGCTGTAACAACATCAGCACCATTAAGGGGTTAATCCCTTCCATCCAAGGTTCTTGCAGCTTCACACTTCTGTCAAGAACTGAAAGCCTAGTTCTCTCCCTACCCCTCCAGGCCTTCAGTTCTTGAAAGACAGAAGTGTGAAGCTTGAAAGGTGGGGAAGTCCTCAGCGATGAGTATCCATTCACTTCTGGTGTTGTGTGAGTACCAACATCACTTTCTGAGTTTTGTTTCTTTTGTGTGAAATGGAGAACTCGCAGAATTGAGCCACAAGTGCGATAAATGGTTGTTTCTCTATTTCTGTTATTGTTCGACTCAGTTCAATTCCTAAAGCCTTCTCCACCTCGGCCCGGGGAACAGCGTTTAGATTTTCTATCAGGGTCTGGAATGGCGTCCCCAACGTTTGGCGCCGAGTCGCGTCAGGGGCTTGGACCAGCATCCAATACCGTTAGCCCGGTTAAGACAACCAATCCTTCCCACAATGCCGCGGCCCTCGCCTTTTCCTCATCACTAGACTCGAGACATCGCGAGAGCGCCCGTTGTCTGACAGATTCGAAGCGCCACGCCTTCGTGGCATCAGAACAGCCTCCTCTTTTACCTGTCCCCGCCTTCCACCCTGCGCTGCGCTCTTGGATTGGCTGATTGAGCAGGGTCGGGTTTTTTTCCTGGCTAGAAAGTGGTCTGACAACTAGTCCTTCTTTGGGCCCCGCCTCCGAAGCCTGTGGATTGGACAGCCGAGTCAGGTGCCATTCGCCTACGCCAGAGCGCGCGCCAGCCAATCGGGAGATCGGGGTATTTTACAAACTGGGGAAGTATCTACAGCGAGAGTCGGGGAAAAGCGACTAAAGTGAGACAACCCAGAGGGGATTGAGGGGGATGGTGCGGTGCTGGGTTCTTGGAAGCTGCAGGGGCTCACGGGGAGGAGAGGTAGCTCGGGATCCTGGGGCGAAAAAGTGGATTTGGTGTGCACCCAGAAGAATAAATAGCCTGTGATTCAAAAACCTGCAGGCGCTGGGATTTGGGTGGAGGTGGGAGAGTCTCAGGGGTGGTGGGACCGGTGCTCTGGCACGGCTGACCATTAATCCATTACCCTGTCTTCTTTCCCAACATAGTTGTAGCCATTATGACCACTGTCCAAGCCACGAAGGAGCCTCGTCTCCGAGGTGTATCTCCCACTCCTAGCAAAATCCCGGTGCGATCCCAGAGACCCCCGCTTCTTCCTGCGGGTAAACCCAGCACCCTGTACCAGGAGAACCAAGATCCAAAGGTAAGAGGAGCCTAATGGGTGAAGCTAGTAGCTTAGCTACAAGGGAACAGCACACACCAACAGTACACCCCAATGTTGAGTCCCAGCTTTTTGCCTCTCCACTCCTAACAGAGATTGATGCAGAAGCCACTGGAGTCAGCAGGATCCAGGCCTAAAGCCATAAGCCAAACAGAGAAATCAGTGGGGACCACTCAGCTTCGGAACCCCCTGGAGGAGCTCAGGCTCAGCTCAGGGGTACAAAATGTGGGGCCTGGACCCCCTCCCCTAACAGGTACCTTTTTGGAGGTCTGGGACCACAGCCTCCTTAACTGGGTGAGGGAATGGGAAGGGCAGTCAGATTTTGGGTCTTTGCATTCCTAGTCTCCTGCTTTTTAGGAGTCCTGGATCCTGCTCTTGGAAAGCTTTTTGTTCTTAGAAGCCCTGCCTTTCCTTCAGAAAAAGTCTTTTCAGGAGACTTTTCCATCTCCCCTAATCACAATCAATTCCTTTGTATTCTCTAAATGCTTTGCAGTACTTCTTTTTAACATGACCATAGTTTGGCTTGAGTTTGTTTCCCTCTATAGTTCTGATGAAAACTTAAGGATAGTTTTTATCTTATTCATCTCTGGTCTTTTGTGTCAAGACCAGAATTCATTTGAATGACAGTCTCTATTGATTACTCTTGTATCTTTTGAGGGGCCCTGGCACGCCTTTTCCACTTCCTGTACCTTCTCACCTTTTTTTCTCCATCCTTGCAGAGGCTCCAGGGACCATAGAGTTTGTGGCTGACCCTGCAGCCCTGGCCACCATCTTGTCAGGTGAGGGGGTGAAGAGCTGTCGCTTAGGGCGCCAGCCCAGCCTGGCTCAAAGAGTACTGGTTCGTGGGAGCCAGAGACGTATCCTCCAAAGGGACCAGGTAATGAGGTCAGATGTGAGGAGACGAAGCTGGGGTAGGCTGAGGAGAGGGTCATGAGCCTGTGCTGACGGTTTCTGTTGACGTGCCAGGGTGCTCGGGCATCTGCATATTTGGCCCCCAGAACTCCCAACCACCAACTGGCCTATGCAAGGGCTTCCTGCTTTTCAAGGCTGGAGGGACCAGGACCCCGTGGCCAGACCTTATGCCCCCAGAGGCTCAAGACTTTGGTGAGTGCCCCTGAGGGGCTGACAGTGCTTCTGGGAACTCCTTCCACAGGACAGCTGGCTCTGAAAGAGAAGGTACTGTCTGAGGAGTGCTGTGGAGGAAATGGGGCTGGTGGGGAGACCTGAGGGTTTGGATCCCACTTGTGACTCTACTCTCATTTGGGTCAGAATCCACCTTCAGGACTGTCCTTTCACTCTTCCACTCGCCCCAGTTTCCTGGAGTTACGAAGAGTGACAGGTGGCAGCAACCGGTGAGAAGATGGTCTGGGAAAGGGTTGTTTGGAAAGGAATGATCCAGTGTCTGACTCAAGGATCCCAGAGCTGGGACCTTCCTGTAGCTTTAGGACTCCATCACCCCAGGGGGGGAAGGAAAAGGAAACCTCCAGTGAGCCCTTGGAATAGGGTTGAGGCTTCACCACCAGACCTTATTATAGCATCAGTCTCCTCAGGTGTTGGCAGTGGGGATGAGCAGGGATGAGAGATGCTAGAGCATACATAGTGACAGTAGATGAGATTTGGGTTTACCTCCTGACTTTTGCCACTTAACAACATGTGCAAGTTTGCCCTAAGCTCTCCTGGCTTCAGTTTCTCTATCTGTCAGTCAGGATAATGTGTGGATCCTCATTAGAGGTTGCTGTAGGGATTCAATGAGGTGACACTTGTAAAGTACCTAGCGTTGCCCAGCTCATACTTGGTGCTCAGTGACTGCGGGTTGCTATTGTTATTGTCTTCAGGACATCAGTGAATCAGACCTCAGGATTGCCTCTGGAGACCCCAACCCAGCCTGGTGAGTGTTCCGCCATAAGAAGAGCCGGTGGGCTGCCTGCAGTGATTTGCTCAGCAGGCTGGTGGTGTGGGGATTGCTAGATCAGAAGGAATGGAGAGAGGAAGGGGCCAGAGATTGGCACTTGGTTTCACTTGTAACAGAGGAAGTGGTAGTCCCCATTTCCACTCTCCCTGCCACTCTTTGCAAGATTTACCTTTCACTCACAGTCTTCTCTTAAGGCCCTATGAGCTATTAGCTCGCCTCTACCCACTCAGGGTGTTTAGATTAATAGGTACTGAGTTATGCTAGACTTTGAGGACAAAAACTGCAGAGATGGATCCCTGCCCCTAATGGTACAGTAGGGGCTATCAAACTGGCATACCCTCTTCAGAGGTTGCAAAGCCCTAGACTTTGATGGGTGCTCTAGAAACAACATCAAATTCCCTCTCTCCTCCAAGCTTCCTCTCTCCCAGAAGGAGAACATCCTGAAGACAGAGGAGGCTCCCTCTGTCTGGCCCAGCGGGTACCATTAAAAGGGACACACACCAAGGTGAGATGAGACCCTCCTGGGGTAGGGGGTTGAGGATGGGAGTTACTTGAGAAAATTCCCAGCAGTAGCCAGCACTGGGAATTGTGGGTAGAGCCAGGCACTTCTAGGTCTTGAAGGTGTAATTTGGTCTGGGTTTGTACCATATGGGCCCAAGCTCTCTCCAGAATGGAACTGACTTCTCCTCTTTATCAGGTATCTGGGACCTGGAGTGAGAGATCATAGATTAATAAATATTGACATCACCATCAGATCAGCGTTGAATGTGAAACAACTGACACTTGTCTGTCAATAGCATTCATGTACTCACTCTACAAATATGTCTTGACCATATACTGCGTGCCAGGCATTGTTCTAGGCTCTGGACATAAAGCAGTAATCAAGTTCACAATCAAGACGGGAGAGAAAACAATAAAAAAATAGATAAAATCTGTAGTATGTCAGAGGTCCTGGGGTGATGCAAACAGTTTGCATTCAACTACTCACCTAAAGTAGGCATTTCCAAAGCACCCTGTACAATGCCATGAAAGAAAGGCCTGGCTGCCTCCTTCCATAAAGATGACAACCAAGAAAATCCTATAGAGCAGTTCCACTCTGTCACACATGAGACTGCCATGAATTGAAATGGACTCAATGGCAGTGAGTTAGGGATTTGTGTGTGTGTGTGTGTGTGTGTGTTTTGGTATATGTTAGATGACAAGTTCACTGTAAAAAAATAAAATAAAATAAGGCCCTGGAGGGAAATTGGAGTGGGAAGTAGTCATTGCAGTTTTAAATAGACTGGTCAGGAGAATCTCATTGAGAAGTTTAAGTGAAGACCAGAGGATTTGAGGAAGTGAGCCATACAAATAATCTGGGGAAGAGACTTCCAGGCCAAGAGAACTGCAGATGCTAATCCTCTGAGGAGGAAAGGTACTTAGTGTATTGGAGGGTACGCAAAAGGGAGAGGCCAGCAAGTCTGCTGAGAGTACGGAGGGGAATGGTAGGAGATAAGGTTGGAGCAATAACACATGGGGTTGAGTCAGGGTTTGGAAACCAGTGTAAGGGCTTTGGCTTGTACTTGCAATAAGATGGAAAGCCCTGGGGTGGGGAGCAGAGTGAAGTGGGTGACATGATTTCACTTATGTCTTAGGAGAATCACAGTGGCAACTGTGCTGAAAACAAAACATAGGAAGGCAAAGGGGAAGGGGTCACTCCTCCCAGCTTTTTCTTCTCCACAGGACAGCTGTGACTCCCACTTGATGCCTTCCCCTGCCCCTGTGGCCCAGCGCATTCCTGGCCGTGTGGTGCCATCTTCTGTCACCTGCCCTTCCCCCTTTGGGTTGGCCCAGCATGTACCTTCTCCCCACCCTCAGGCTCCGGTACATACTCACCACTCTTGGATGCTGGGCAAGGACAGAATAGTCTAGCTGTAAGTCTAGGCTTTGTCCCTGCTTAGCCACTTCTTCTCTCCCCAGGCCTCATATTCAGTGTTACGGCGTCTTGCCCTTCGCCCCAAAACCCAATTCACACCCATCCCATCCATCTCCAGAGTTCAGCAGGTAAGAGAGGGCCAGGGAGGTAACTGGCACAGCCCAAGGCTAGGGAGGAGGGAGTACAGGGATGGGTGAGCCACAGGGCAGATTAAGACAGGGGCAAGGGGGAGATTGGGCCCCATCTGTGGGTGCTGGGCTTTGCTGACCTCTCACTTCTAGTCCCAGGGTCAATGTATGAGTGATCTCTCCCCTGCGACCCGCCCTGAACCTGAAGAACTTTTCCTGCCCTGGGTAAGTGTCAGAAGCCCTCCCATGCTGTCATCCTTCACTGGGTTGCTTGGGCCTGGAGGCCCAGCAATTTGAGAAAGATAGGCTTCCTGGTAAAGCTACTCATTCCAGCTCTCCCTGCTTCTCTGTTGCGCCTCCTAATTTAAGTCAGGCCTTTTCAATCTGAGCCCCTCCTCATGAGGCTGGTGCTCTGACTGCTTCTCTGTGTGCCCCCTTTTCCTTTCATCTGGCAGGAGCAGATTGCAGTACAGTTGTTTGACCAGCAGAGTTCTGTAGGGTTGCAGGAACCACCTGTGGCATCTAATGTACTCCCGCGAAACAGAACCCCCAACCCTCAGGAACTGAAGATGCAGGTGGGTCTGCAAGAGCAACAGCTTTGATACAGGTGGAGGAAACAGGAAGAGATCGTGTATGTGTAGAGGGCAGTGTAAGCACAGTACTTGAACCCCCACAACATTGGGTTACTCTCTTCACTTACAGCGCATCAGTATTCTACAGAAGCTCTTGCGCCAGGAGGTAGAGGGGCTGGCTGAGGACAAGTATGTGTCCCTTAATGGGGGCTCCTCTTTGGATATGGTTGAACTTCCTCCCCTGCTGAGTAGGATTTCTGGAACTTTGAATACCCCAGAGCATAATTCTGGAACTTCGCACCTTCCTGAATTACAGCACTCTGAGCTACCAAAGCCCTGCCTTCCAGATAAGTGCGGGAAACCACAGCCCTGCCCTCCCACAGAGCCAGGGGTTCCAGACTCCTGCCATGGGAGAGAGTCTGAGATATCAGAGCCCTCCCCTCAACAACAGCCTGGGATAGCAGAGCCCTGCCCTCTGGCAGAGCCTCAACCCCTTCAGCATAGCTCCCAGGGGAATGCTGGACTCCCTGAGCCCCACCCTAGGGTAGAGCCTGAGACACCAGAGGCCTGCCCTGTGGAACCTAGACGCCCAGAGTCCACCCAACAGTCCCACAATAACCAATGTGCTCCAGTACCCACCAGCCTGATCTCTTCCCAACACCCGCCTTGTGCCAGCCATCCTGTTCACTCACTCCAGTCTCTGAGGCACCCACCACACCAGTCAGGTAAGGAGTTGGTTGAGAGGAGGTAAGAACAAAGCAGGTGGTCATCTCTTACTGGGAACTGGGCCCAGTGCCCTGCACCAATCCCTTACCTTCCTCCACCATCCAGTCTGCCTCTGCCTGGCCCTCCCTCTAGCTCTGTGTTCCTAATTGTCTGGATCCTTGGGGAAGGGGAGAAGGCAATAGATGGTGGGAGGACAGGACTCCAGAGCCCTCACTGAACTCTTATGTCCCTTGGACCTTAGGCCCCAATAGTCTGGCCCCTCGAACCCTGGCTTTGAGGCAGCGCCTCAGAGCATGTCTGACTGCTATCCACTGCTTCCACGAGACCCGCCTGGATGACGAATGTGCCTTCTACACCAGCAGAGCCTCTCCCTCAGGCCCCACCCGGGTCTGCACCAACCCTGTGGCTACATTACTAGAATGGCAGGATGCCCTGGTAAGCCTCTGACCCACAGACAGGCTGTACCAATCCTGGTGTGTGAAGTGAAGGCAGAGGACCAATGTGGGCTCCATTTTTGAGAAAGTCAGTGAGGAAGAGTTACTACAGTTCAAGGATGGCTGGGTTGTAACAATGTCTTCTCTCTCTCTTCAGAGTTTTATTCCAGTTGATTCTGCTGCCTCTCAGGGCTCTCCATCATGAAGTACCACTTCCATCAGCCCTGTCTTGCTCTTTGCTTTTAACCCTTATTTATTGTCAGCTCTTCCTCTCACCCCTATGGGGCCGGAAGCCAACACGCTTGTCTTTCAATAAAGTTTGTAAAGTATCCGTGTCTGTTTTCTCTAGTCAAATCTAGTCTCCTTACTGGTGTTGCTCTCCAATTGCCCACAAGGTGGCAGTGTTCTCCACTTAGAATCCAGCCCTGGCCTCTCAGAAGCCCCCAGGCTCTTACTCCCATCCCCTACCCCACCCCCAAGTAATGAGCTGTTCTGAAGGGAGAAAGTTATCCCACTTTCACCCATTCAACCCCCTCAACCAGCTTCTATAAAGGTGTTAGAGGCATTTGTGGATCTTTGGGAACCTGTTCTTCCCTGTGCCTTGAGGTCAGTCCCCCTCCCAGTTACCAGCCCTTGCCCAATAGAAGCTCCTCTTAGAACTGTCTCCCTGTACTAGGCTGAATAGCAGAGGTATCAGACCCAGAACTTTGGGATCCTTCCTTATATCCTTGAGTTGGTGCTTCCCTAGACCTACAGTATGAGGTCTTAAAGCCTTCCTGAAAGCTGATACCCTGCTCTCGTCAGATTGGAAGTCCTTCTCTCCCAGAGGCAGGCCTTGCCAGGAACAACTAACTCTTTGCCTCTGGCAGAGTGGAGGTCTCTGAGGGGTGAGAGAGAGGGTCAGCCACTTTCTGCCCCCCATCCTAAGCTCCAAGTCCAAGCAGCCACACACATCTCCCAACCTCACTCACTTTATTGGAAGAGGCAACAGAAGCTGTAGCCCCAATGGCCTAGGCCTGATGGGGGTGAAATGGAAACAGTAGAGAATGAGTTAAATGCCAGGAAAGAATTCACTGATTCATCCAATTCATAAGAGAGCTCCCAAGGCTAAGCCCTGTAGCCTGAAAATGAAGGTGAGGGACAGGGGATTGTGAGAAACAATTGTCATGAAAAAGGACCAGCACCTACTCTACTACTCTCTCATGGCCAAGATGCACTAATTTGAGTTCCTCACAAACTGCCAGGTCTTTCCTGCTTTCCTGGCATCTGAACCCAGGTTAGCGAAACTGCCCCCAGCTTCAATAAGAAAGGCGGCTCCTCCTTCCGGTCTGGCTCTCATCTTGGTCCTCAAGTGGATGCCAGAGGTCCTTACCCAGTCACTCTGGTCTTCCAATGGCCCAGCCTCCTCCGCTCCCTAACAATTTACTCCCCAAAGCACCAAGGGTTGGCCCAAATTCGCTCTCAGGAGTGGAAGCGGGAGGGTCTGCCCACCAAATGCCAGGCTCTCAAAGGATGGGGTGGTGCCTTGGGCTGGGCCTGCTGCAGGTGGGTGGAATGGGGAGGAACGAGTAGGGGATGTGGGGAATGAAGCCAGCTCAGTCCGGGTAGATGATGAAGCCAGAGAAGGTGCTGTACTTGTTGGTGTTGCCACCGTGCACCTTCCCACCGTCCAGCTTAATGAAAACCTCATCGCCCACATCCAGGTGCAGGATGACGCTGTTGCTGGCGTAGTCATAGTTCTGGTCCGCATCCTGGGCAATGGCACTGGCTCGAACCTAGCCAGAGAGAACACTACTCACTCCTAGTTCAGAGCTGAGATGCCGTAAGAGGTTGGGGTGCAAAGGTGGCAGGGAAGCTGACTGCCAGGCTAGGGAGGATGGGGAAGTCATGGGGCCCAGGAGTCGCTGAGCTTTTCAGGCTCTGCCATGCATTAGCTTTTCAGGCTCTGCCATGCATTAGCTGTGTGACGGGGAAGTGTCACACCTTCGTTGTGCCTCAGTTTTTGTCTCAGTTTAAGCTATAAAACAGGGAAGGTAGTGGATGATACAAGGATTAAATGGATAATAAGCTAGAATTAAATGTGAAATATATTTAGAACATAGCTTTACACATAGAAAACTGTATACAGGGTGTGCTATTATAAGTTCTGGTATGGCCTTGTAGAATAACCACTGGATTGCTAAATGCAGGATGTCAGAGGTTTAAACCCACCAGCCGCTCCTCAGAAACCCTATACGGTGTAGTTATGAATCAGAATGGACATGATGTCACTTAACATTATTAGTTTCAAGAGCCCTGCTGGCGCAGTGGTTGAACAATGTGACCTCTAACAGAGAGGTTGGCAATTTTAACCTACCTATCAGCTTGCTCTGCAGGAGACAGAGAAGGGGTCAGGAACGTGGAATTCTGCTCCTATGATTCACCCCTGAAACCAAACCCACTCCCATCCCATTAGATCCACAGCAATTATGTATAGGGTTTCTGAGGTTGTAAATCTTTTGGGGAGCAGAAAGCCACCTCTTTCTCTTGTTGAGTGACTGGTAGGTTTGAAGTGCCTACCTGGCATTAGTAGTCCAGTGCTTATCTTACAATGCCACTATTATTCCTTTCCCTATAAAGATTACAGTCTTGGAAACTCTATGGGCAGTTCTACTCAGTCTTTTAATATAGAGTCACTGTGAATCCATAGTACTGCAACAGGTCATTATTATTCTGTTTTTTAAATAAAATTCGCCTGTAGTAGAATTTCTGATGCCTTCAAGGCTCTGACTTCCTGTGATCCCTAAATGTGTGTTCCCTTCCTCTAATGAGGGGACGGAGGTGTAGCTGTGATGTGAGGTTGCTGGGCCAGGGAAAGTTACACTACCGATGAGCTCTCCCCTTTGGGGAGCCCATTTCCCCTTAGGGTGTCCTCTGATGCCTTCACATAGGCATTGCATTCGGGCCCCACAGGGAGCCCCTCTTCCTCTCTGGCTTGGCTTCCAGCCCCCTCCCCAACCTCTCTGCTTCCTGTCCCGCGGGGGCTGGTTATTAACTTATTAATTATTCATCATTATTCTAATCACTATTTACCGTCCCCAGGGCCGCAGAGCCGGTGCGGTGGAATACAAAGTGGGAGCCTGGCGACCCCGCCCCCTGCGAAAGCCACACACTCTATTTACACTGGTCCCCACCTCCATCCCCCACAGAGAGCACACAAACCTACTCAGTGCCACAGACACGTGTTTCTTGCTCCACACTCACCTTAACACCCGGCACCCACGCTCTCATCGAACACACACCCTCACACTTCGTTACACATATATACCATCTCACCCCCATACAGACATACATACATGCTCATCCCCTTTCCCAGGTCCTTAGGCTGCCCCTTAGAGAAAAGACCCCAGAACATCTTTGAAGGTCTCTACTCTGACTCAGGTTCGGATGGAATCCAAACAAGCAGGCCGGATGTTCCTGTGGTCACCACTGGCCACCCCAACCCCCAGGACTGGACAGACAGAGATCACGGCTCAACCTCAACCTCCCCCTGCGCTGGCCAGGAGCCTCCCTCCAAGCCTGTGACCTTTAGCTCCCGCTAAATGCGCTCAGGTTCCCTCGCTAGGTGAGTTCCTGAGTCTATTCTCCCAAACCAAGGCGGCGGTGAGTCCAATTCCGCAGACAGAGGCAGGATGCTGAAGAACCTAGAGGCTGAGAGCTTGTGGAGGGAGCATGTGGGACCTGCAGGACCAGGCCAGGGTCTTAGGCTGCGCCGTCTGCCTGCCTCCTCCAAATCTGTTCCTTCCAGCCACTTGCTGTCGCACTATTTTCTACCATGCATACCGACTCAGTATTAGCAGAGGGCAAGGCCGGCTCAAGGCTTGGCCGCAGGCCTTGAGGCAAGCAACGAGGCAGCTGCCTGGTTTTTATCTTTTTCTCGAAAATCCAAACTGAATGCCCCCTACACAGGGACCACTGCAGATTCCCCACTGCCCTTGAGGCGGATTCCACTCTAGTTAGGAGTCTGACCGAAGCTAGGAAACACGCAGGCCAGAACAGCTGCCCCAGAAAGCAGGGTGTGCAGTTGCTTATAGCTGGAGTGTAAAGACACAGCTACAAATTGAGCTTTGAGCCTTGAATTTTAACCCTGACAAGCGTTTCTAAAGTTCTGACAGACCCTAAGCATACCCTGTCTTTTCTTTGGCCCTCGGTTCCTTTCTCCCTAAATGAAGTGATTTCTATGGTTTGGAGTTCCTAAATTCAGTGACGCTGTTTCGGGAAAGGTGCTCGGGTTGTGGAAGGACAGCTAGGCGACCTGGAAAGCTATTGAGGTCTGATCTAGGACTGGGTGAGAAGCAGGGACCTCTCACCTGTCCGTTCTTCATCAGGTCGGCCCACATGCTGGTACCATCGCCGCCGCGCATGAGCACGTGGTAGGCGAAGAAGTAGACGCCTGGCATAGGGCAGGTGAACTTGCCGCTGGCCGCCTCGTAAGCGTTGCCCACGTTGGTCACCACGTCGTCGAAGCGCAGCACCTCATAACCTTCGTGAGGCCGCCGCAGACCCGCATAGAAGGCTATGCGAGGCACATAGCCAGCAGGGGGCGCCGCTCCGCCAGGGCCTGGGCCGGGAGGACCAGGGGGCCCTGGCCTGCCAGGCTCTCCTGGAGGTCCTCTGGGGCCTGGTGGTCCCGGAGGCCCCCGGAGGCCTGCCTTCCCGCGCCGCCCCGCCTCTCCCTTGGTGCCTGGTGGAAAGGGGGTCACAGAGGCGGGCGCACCGTCGGGGCCCGGGCCTCTGGGCCCGTGCGGGTCGCATACCATACGACAGCGACCCAGCATCTCGTAGTGCGCTGGCCCGCGGGAGCTGTGCACCAGCAGCGGGATGGCCACCAGCAGCAGCAGCACCATGGTCACCCCGACGGCGGCGCCAGCTACCCGCTTGCGGCGGTTCAGCCTCGACGCGGCCAGGGCCAGTAGATCCTCCTCACTCTTGGGCGCAATGGCGGCGGAGGCCGGGGGCGCTCCGCGGGCCCCTGAGGCGGTGGCCGGGCTCAGGCCTGGGTTGGGACCTCCCTCACCCCCGACGGCTGCGCCCAGCGCCCCTGCCCCTGTTGGCTCCCGCTTCAGCGGTGCCGTTACCCAAACCGTCCGTCAAGGAAGAGGTCTACCCGCTGAGTGGGCCGGGGGCAGCACTCGAAGGTTAAGAGCCCCAGGTCCTTTTTTACCCTCCCGTTCAATCCTAGCAATCCCGGATCGCGGCTTCTCGGACGGTTGGTTTTTTACGGATCTAGGATATCTGAGTCACCTGCTTTCCGGACGTCTGCTTTCTCTTGGATGGCGGCTGTCTGGGTCCCCGGTTACCCAGATTGATCTCTGTCCACCCGGGACGTCCCGGGCTCTGCTTTGCGGGTGGAGCCCACCGGACGCGACCTCCTTTACGATGGAGCTCTTAGCGAATACTGACTCCTCCTTCTTACCCCAGCTGCAGTTCCTGACCTAGAGCCCTGGCCGGTGCCCTTCCACTGAGAGCGCTCTCCTCTCTGCCCCTAACCTTCCTCCCCTCCCACCCTGGGCAGCAGTGCGGGCTGTGTGAGCCGCCGCGCTACTGGAGCCGCTTTAAACGGCGGAAGGCCGAGCGACCCCTGGCGCCCAGAGGGAGAATCGCGGGGGCGGGGCAGGCAGCAGCTCCCACTAGTGTGTCCCCCTTATCCCTGGCCTCTTGGATCTTTCCTCGCCCTGAGCCGATTTTGCAGGGAAACCCGGCCCTCACCCTATCCTTCTCCTCACCGGGTTTGAAATTCCCAGAGCTGACTGTGAGCCAGAAACAACGATGGGATAAGAAGGGTGAAGATATGCACATGTACAATTTCCGAGCCTAACCCTAACCCCGCCACCACCACCCCCCAAACGAGAAAGGATAGAAATCCACCACCCCACAACCCTCAGTGACCCACTAACATCTTTAAGGGTTCAACGGAACATTTGTCCTGAGCTGGAAAAGGTGAATCTCCAAGCAACCCCGACCCTCAGTGTTCAGTGTCAGTGTTGAGGCGCAGAGCAGAACAGACCAGAGTGAAGGAGTAAGAGAGACTGAGAAAATCCCACCAGCCTGGGGAGCAGCAGGAAACCGACAAGAAAGCTGAGAAGAAGAGACAGAGAAATCAAAGAGAGGGCAAGCCAGATAGAGACGCAGAGACAGAGACAAAGCTTCCAAAAGAGACTAACTGACAGCCCCAGAGGGGGAAAGGGAGAGGGAGAGACAGAGACGGAGAGAGAGAGACGGGAGCCGAGACAGGATGACAGATCGAGAGAGAAATGTAAATGGCGCGCTGCAGAGAGACACCCAGGTCCGTGTTCGGACTCCAATGTGACATATCAACTGTGGGGAAGACGCGGGGGCGGGGCGGTTCTGCAAAAGCCGGAGTGGTAGGGCCTTGGTCTGTGCATTGTGTGCTCTCAAGTGCGGACGTGGCCGTGGGACCTAGCCTTGTGTGTTCCTGGGTGAGTGGGATTGTGTGTTATCTTTGTGTGTGTATACCAGCAGGTGAGGGCTATTTTGGAGGGTGGCATTTGTTTTTGTCTTCCTCTCCCTAAATGTGGAAACCCCATGAATGGCATTTCAGGACTGAAGAGTAGGGAGTGCACTGGGGAAAAAGAAAGAAATCAGTTGTAGTCCTATTTGTCCATCTAGCCCAACCCCACCCCTCTTTGGGTCCTAGACCTTGTCTAGTCCTAAAAGTCTTCCTCCCGCCCTTTCCTTAAAGGTCCACTATTGGAAGGAAAACCCAGAGAAGTTGAAACCTACATAATGGATGTTGGAGGGGGGTATTTGAAGTTGGTTATGCAAATTAATGTGGCTAAAATGCAGATTAAGTGCTAGACACCCTTCTGTGAGGGATAACTGTATCTGTCTTCTTTTTGGGTAAACTAGGGAAAACAGAGGCCTTGAATTTGTGAAGGATCCAAGTTCAGGGGAAAGCTATTGGTGACATTCTTCACTGGGACCTGGCCTCTCTGGGGAAAATTTCTTGTTCACAGGGACCCCAGAACCACAGGCTTGGAGAAGAGGCTACAGAACTGGAGAAAGTGAGGATGTTTGGAGAGCCCACTAGTAGACTGCTGCAAAGGACCTCTTAGAGACTAGGATAGCCCTAGTCTGTAATGTATGGGAATATGCTGTGTAAAATGGAAGGCACAGAGCATATAGGACAGTATTATTGGGTAAAAGGTGGTTTCCTCTATCCTTGCCCCTACACACTCTTTGCTGAGGGCTGCTGAGGCTGAGTCTGTGGGAGGGAAGCCCCTACATGCCTGAAAAGGTTGCGAGAGAAAGGATTGGCAGTCAGTGGGGGAGGGGTTCCTCTTCCAACCATAAATACAAATTTTATTCAAGGTCTTTGTTGCCATTTGTCTTTCTGGAGGAGGGGGGAAGGGGATGAGGGCCGTGTCGCCCCGTGCATGTCTAATTCCAGATCTGCTCCCCCAGGCTGAGTGATGGATGGATCAGAGAGGAGAGAGCAGGCTCAGGCTCACACCAGTCTCCTCTGCCTGATCCTCAGGGCCCATCAACCCCAGGGCTCTGCTGCACCTTTCTGTCCTCCATCCCCCTGCCCGCCTTCTCTCCCGCTCACCAGAGGCCCTTTCTGCCCATTCCAGTTCCTCACTCTACTCGTCTGGCTTTCCTGGCCCACTTCTTGAGCCCCATACTTCAGCCCCTTTCACAAGACCCAGCTCCCTGGAGCTTCCTCACTCCTCCCAACACCAGCCCAAACTGAAAGCGGCGGCGGTGACCAGCAAGGCTGCAGGCAGTAGCGAGTAT